GCTGCGCTTCATCGTGCCATCATCAATTTTTTCATCTGCGAATTTGACCAGGTCGAGTGTCGCCTTCAGAATGCTGTCTTGCAAGTGGCCCATGTATAGAATCATGAAAAATTCCTGTTTCACGTCGGGGTCAGCTACGACGGCTCGCTGATTGTTGTTTGAAGAGGCATCGTCGGCCTTTTCGGACAATGAGAATGCCTCGAGAGAGGCCAGGGTTCTCGTGAGGTCTTTGCGTCGGGAATAGTACTGGCTTATTTCTTGCTGGAATCGTGCCTTGAAGCCCTGCTGCAACGGACTAAGCATGTCGCCTGTGGCCTCTTCATCTCTCTCTTGGTACAATTTCTCGACGTGCTTCCTCTTCTTTAGTTCCAAGCTCAACAGAACATATTGCAAGCCGATGTTCACTAGGCGAGCAGACTCCACCAATCTTTTGTGAAGTGTCTCGGCCACTTTCTGCAACTCAGCCTGCTTCGTTGGTGCCTCCTCGTCATTCTCACATGACCCAACGCTGTTGTTGCGGGTCCCTTCATTTTTCACAACCATATCGAGGATTTCAGGAAGCATTGCCATCCCTGATAAGGGCAGCAGAAGGCTTCGTAGCAGACCACCAATACCACTCAGATCATCAGCCGATAGCTTTCCCCAGGCGATCTCATCCTTCGAGTAAAACATATCGGACTGCAACTTTCCATGCAAGGCATTCAACTTTGTTACTGCCGCGCCGAGAGCTTTCTTCTTTGCTTCCAAACTCGAACCCCCGTTATTCCCTGCTGCGCCCACGCTCCGAGCAGTCCGGGTTCGACTGAGAAGGTTCTGATCGCCAGTCCACATATCTGGGCTCTCCCCTACGAAGTCGATCTGCGCTCGGAGCACGGCGTCAATCTGCGCGACGTAGCCCTTGATGTCCTCGAATACGTGCCCTCGGCTCGTGATCGGTAGTATGAAGAGAGAGACGCCGATGGCAATCGCAAACCCCAACATAAACCCTTTCAATAATCGGCTGACAAAGCCCAATCCATCAGATAGTGTCACAAATGTCCCAGCTCGGGTGATGGTCACAGAGCAGAAGATCGAGAACGCCACCATAGGATCCTGCAGCTCCATCGGTTTCCAGGCACGGATCGTATTCGCACCCCTGCAAAGAACTGTTAGCATTGCCTGCAACAGCACAATCGAGGCAGCGCAATTACCAGATCATAAATATAAGCCATATGGCAGATACGGCGCAGGCATCGCTGCTGAAGCCAGTGCGGACACTCTCGCTTGCGTCTTTCGGGGTGTTGTGTTCTCTTGCCTTCACAGCACAGAATATCGCTAGACAGCAGAGTGATGCGGATACGCATGTGGACAGGAGATCAAAGAACATGATCTTCATGAATTTCGCGCGGGGCATGAGAGCCTGCGACAGGACGGAGATCAGCGCGGATAGGTAGCCAATAGTTAGTGTGATGTCCGCAATAGAACTGCTCTGATAACTACAATGGATGTAAGTCGACTGCTTTGATATGTGTCGATACTAGGTTGGCTCACATTGCAATGACAATGGTCGGTGGCAAAGCACCTTTCAACATCATGAGAAAGGTTCGAGTATCCAGGTCCAGGCGTCGCCTCCAAGTCCTTGGGTCGAGTGCGCTGTGAGGCATTTCTCAGCTCCTGCTCACTGTAGATTAAGTCATCGAGTGCGGAATCTCATACCTGAGCACCTTGGACAGGCTGGATCCACCAGAGCTCCGAGGAGGAGCCATGGTGTGTCAACTGTCTCTCGTGCAATGTATTGCTAAATCAGGTGAACTGAGTGATAGCAAAGATTAGTTTAATATATGAGGAGACTCGAAAGATGCTCGAGAGAGGGAACAGGATGGAAAATTCATCCTCTCGTGATCTGAACTAGCGTTGTTGATCGAATCGCCGACGTCCGGGGCCGCATCCGGATCGGGTTGCCGTGCCTGAAATCCATGGCGCCTGCCGAGCTAAATGCCGACTCAAAAAGTTTCCTTTCCTTGACTAAGTTTTCGAAGGTGGACATCATTGAGATACTGTCTTGGATCGAGTGATATACGTAGTACAGCCTGGTAGTAGTCTCAGTCACACCGGGCTGTTCGATTATCGACTTGAGCTGATCACTGCTGATGCAGATTGAGCTTTGACGAAGGGTGGTATATTTGGTGGAAGATAGTAGTTAGTGTGATTAGCAATTGAAGTTGACTTTGATCCGATCCTTTCACATCTTCCCAGGCTATCAATACTGCCCTACGGAGAGTAATTAAGGTTTTTGCAGGCCTTCGGAAATAGACCCAGCAATTCCATGGCTATCAGAGTCGGCAGGGAGAAGGACAAGCATTATTGATTGTATCCAGGCGGGATAAGTCTTTACCCGATGCTCTGAGCTATGATCACCTGACTAGATGCATAATTTATGAATCCAGCAGTCAAGATGAGTCAGGAATGAGTGTCTGCCTGCGGCACAACTCAGGTGATGGCTCTTCTTTCATACGCATTTCCCCCTTCCGGCAAACGACAGCATCCAAACCTGTTGAGCAACCATGATAATTCCCTCATAGTGCATCGACACAGAGGAGTGTCCTCCTGGCCGATCAATCTGAGGTATTTTCAAGTTGTGGCTGCAGAGCTGGGTGTGACTGACCAGTGCTGGTGTTATGATAATGAGCAGCCATCCCCTCCATCATCGCATTTCGGACTGCCTTACGCGGCGCCACGGAGGCTTTGGACATCACCCCCGCATTGGCATGTTTACGAATACTACCCCGCTCACTGGCCAAGACCTGTCAAACGAGGCCGCATCAGATGTGGTAGACTGGATCAGGTCGAAAGTATTGTACAGGACTGTACATGAGTACTACAAATGACCTCATTTATGGACAGCTGGCGCCAGTGTCGGGTGGACCAGTCTCCCAAGCACGAGGAGCCGACAAATCGCGCGACTAGTTGACTTTGCAACATGGAATGCTCTAGCACCTGGCTGTCTCTGCCACGCCTTGGCACGTTCGTGTTATCCATCGTGGCCATCATGTATCTCAGCACTTACCATGGTCCCCGGAAAGTTATTCTCCTCAGCCACAACGTAGCGTTGATTTGCGGAGTGCTGGTGGAGGCGACAGTGGGCCCCAGATATGTGGCTGAGTCTTTGACGCAGGGGTTGGAGATTCGGAGCCTTACCAGGCGGGAATAGCGTTGACGATGGGTCGTTACTGAGTCATAGAGAACTCAACCGAGGCGTAGCTGGACTGAAAGAAGTCGTCCAAGCTAAAGAAAGGAATGCCAAATTGACTACCAAACTGTAAGCGTAACCGAATGGCGATGGATGACGCGCTCTCTGTTTGCACACATCTTACCTTCTTCTGACCTCGGCCATGTGACGCGTTACCCAAAGCTGTTGCCAGCCGTGGCAACGACCCGCATGCAGTGCCCGTCCCGGATGACGATGATGTATGATTGGGTATGATACGAGTGACAATACAGGTACGTCGGACTTCGGAGGAAACCCTCCGACTGGGACGAGGCTAACATCTCGCAGACAGTCGACCAATGGATAGCTCCGGATTCCCAGATCGCTGTCCACAAATATTGGGTCGTCCAAAGGCAAGGCGGTCTTTATCGATCTGATAGGTATTGTAAATACCTGTACGTAGGGTAGGTAAAATATGGCCAGTTCCCTTGGTGATAGTCATGGATGTGTCTCACTCTTATTGCTGCGTAAAGAAATTGGTTATAATAGAACAGTGCTCTATACTCCGTAGACGGCAATGTGCCGGGAAGGGAAGATAGATCCATAACCCTAGGTGATTTATTCTTCCAGGAGTGAGTGAGGCGTGGCCTCGGGGGCAGGTGTTCCGTAGTCGCAATTCGATCACAAAATTGGGAGGTCTCCATGTTCTGGGTCCCAGCTTTCTGACATGGTCCTTGGGCTTCGTCCATCCCCTTGCAGGTTGCAGACCGATTGAGCAAGGTGAAGTATGAACTAATTGGCATCTTCACCTACTGAAGAAAAAAGGAAGTTATTTCGTCGATTGTACTAGAAACATTTAGCTTGTTTACCACCAAGCCCTAGAATGGATACCAGGTCGACGGGCTGCAGAAGGGAACCGTACGAATTCGATCGACGGGAACCCAGATTAACAGCCCTCATGCCCCACCAGTGGAGTGGATAGATACAGCAAGGTAATCAATCATCATCCGTCGTCAATTGTTGCTGTGTTTTGCGACTCAACCGCTTGCCGAGCCTCTAAAGATAAAAATAAATGAAAAAACCGACAGAAGAGCGGGATCCGAGTCCTCATGTCGGAGATAAGCCGATGACCTCAGCACGGTGTAGCTGCCTTGGCAGGCCTTGGAAGGGTAAGCTGATAGGATGCAGTGCAGGAGGGGGAAGGGGGGGAAGGTGAAAGAAAAAAGGAAAATGAAAAAGAAGAAAAAAAAATGAAGGTGGATGATTGATAACACGATACTCCGTAGATAACAACCTAACAAGAGGGAGGGAGTTGGACGCAAAACGGGGCAGGCAAGACGGGACCATGGACCATGGCTTCCTCCCCTTTCATGGTTAGGTGCAGGGTGATCATGCTGGGGCTTGGCCGGCATCATTGGCTTGCCGCTCACGCCAAGGGCCCCGGCCGGCCGCTCGTCCTTATATTGTCCTCATTTCGCTGTCTGTCTTGCCCTCTCCAACTTCCCATAAATCCACTTGAAGCTTGGCTTGCTTCCTCCTGTGTGTTCCGACACAGTTTTCTTTCTCTTCTTCTGTTTCTTCCTATCCCATCTCATCTCTGTGATACGCCTCAGGCTCCTCTGCCTTCCCCCTTGATTATCCCTGCTTCTGGTTCTGAAATACATGCGTAAGTGCCTCGGTCACCTACCGATACCCCTTCCTTCATAAACTCGCTTCCAAACACAGCACGCGCGCCAAACTTTGGTGGCTTTCTTGGTGCATGAATCTCGCTTCTCTTTCTGAGAAACCAACTGATAAACATTTCGATTCCATAGACCGGATTCACTCGTGGGCGAAAGCTCACGCGTCAACTCGCCAAAATCGAGCTTCCTCCCAGGTAGACCAAGCCTCCGACGAGGCAGCGGCTCAAGATGGGCAAGTGAAGGAAGCTATACGTGACCCGGCCAGCCCGGAGTCAGAAAAGAATTCAAATGAGACCACCAAGCACGGACTCTTCACGCGCATGAAGGATGGCATGGTCCGCTTCAGCAGCCACACCAAGACGGCTCTTTGCCACAGTTGGGTTAATGTGCTGCTCATCTTCGTGCCCGCCGGTATCGCCGTCCAGGCGGCCGGGTTGAACTCGGGCTTGATCTTCGCCATGAACGCGATCGCTGTCATTCCCTTGGCTGGTCTCCTCAGTCACGCCACTGAGTGTGTTGCCAGCCGCCTAGGTGACACCGTCGGTGCACTGATCAACGTCACTTTTGGAAATGCAGTCGAGTTGATCATTTTCATCATTGCACTGGTCAAGAATGAGATTCGAATTGTGCAAGCATCCCTCTTGGGATCCATTCTGGCAAATCTACTGTTGATTCTGGGTATGGCCTTTCTGCTGGGAGGCTTGCGTTTTCAGGAACAGGTACGCAATTCTCGTCTGTGTTTCTGAGTTGTGTACTAAGTTCTCTAGATCTACAACAGTACCGTCACTCAAATGAGCGCCTGTCTTCTTAGCTTGAGCGTCATGAGTTTGTTACTACCTGTGAGTGATGACTTGATTCGTTTGAGGGTCCAGAACTAACATAGTCATCAGACAGCCTTCCATGCTTCGTGGTCAGATAGCTCGAACGCCGACAAATACACTCTCAAAGTTAGCCGAGGAACTAGTGTGGTAAGCTCCCTCAGAAGTACGATGAGAAGCGAAGCGCATCAGATACTAAGTGTCACAAATAACAGGTTTTGCTTCTTGTGTACGCCTTGTACATCCTTTTCCAGCTCAAGTCGCATGCCTATCTCTACGCCAGTACTCCTCAGCAGATTATTGACGAAGAGTCCCACCCGGGTGTGTTGGCCGAGTTTATGAACAGCTCGTCAGATTCAAGCAGTTCTTCCGACGAATCGGTTGACACTACAACATCCTGGTCCACCGCCAAACGCATCAAGAGGGCCATGAAACACAGACGCCACCGAAAATCAAGCACTAGCTCACGTGGAACAGTATCTCCGCAATCGTTCCGTAAGAAGTCCCTGGTGGATATGCCATCGTCGGCTGTCATTGATGAGGCCCACGGTTCTGGTGATTTGAACAGTACCACTAGTCATGCAGAGGGTTCAGGGTCGTTTGTCATTGATTTTGGCGACGATACCCGCTACGATGCGGACCACGAGCCACACTCGAGGGACTACGAACCGCAGTCGCGGGACTTCGGAGCTGCCCCTAGGACCTCGAAGCAAGAGAGAAAGGCCAAGAAGCAGGAGAAGAAAAAGCATGAGAAGCGTACGGAAAGCGCCCAGGGCGCTATCAACACAGCTATGAACGGACGGCCACCCTTGAAGTCTTATCAATCGGAACCTTCTGTTGATCATGGCGATTCACAAATTCCTGTCGAGGAGATCCCCGAAGTGCCTAAGAGGCGATCGCCATTTCGGCCTACCATTCCCTCACTGCTCTCGAATACAGTGTTCTCTACCGCGCCGGGTATTGCACAACCAACGAATCTTTCCGCTGCATCTGGTCTCCGCCGTACACACTCGCTGCCTTCTTTCTCCAATCGTCCTCCACCCGTGGGAAGCGCTGTACAGTTTGCCCGTGGAGCATCTCGCATGCCTACCGTGGTCAGCGCGGCCACTGTCGAAGACACTTCTGAACACCCTGAGCCAGAGATGTCTCGCACCTCCGCGGTGGTCATGCTCCTCGTCTCAACCGCTCTTGTCGCGGTCTGTGCAGAGTTCTTGGTTGATGCGATTCCCAACATGATTCAAAGCTCGTCTGTTAGCGAGGCTTTTATCGGTCTAATCATCCTGCCTATTGTTGGTAACGCCGCCGAACACGTGACGGCCGTGAGTGTGGCTACTAAGAACAAGATGGATCTTGCTATTGGTGTGTCTGTTGGTAGCAGTATCCAGATTGGTATGTTTTGTTAGACCCTTGGACTTTCTAGGACCTGAGCTGACCCCCAGCAGCTATCTTCGTCACTCCCTTGGTAGTTATCCTCGGGTGGTGCATGGACAAAGACATGTCTTTGTACTTTACTCTATTCGAAACCATATCACTCTTCGTAACGGCTTTCGTCGTGAACTTCCTTGTCCTGGACGGCAGAAGTAACTACCTAGAGGGATCTCTGCTCATCGCAGCCTATGTTATTATTGGGTATGTTATATTGTTTTTTCAGCCATGTTTTGTTGAACTTTTTTTCTAACGAGACTTGTAGTGTCGCTGCCTTCTTCTATCCCGGAAGTGCTGACTCCAGCAACTTCGCCGGCAGCTCATGATTGATCTTAATAATAATACGACGGCGGAAGCCGTTTAGTATGATGAGCCTGACACGTCTGGACACTGTGTCAGATGCAGACTGTGGTCCTCATTTTCCGGCAAATGCAATTTATGACGAGTTCTAATTGGCTTGAGGTGGAATTTGAGTTTGAAGCGAAGGAACGAATTGACCAGAATTTTGACGCGTTTTGTGGCATATAGGGTCGAGACTGTAAATATTGTTACCTGGGTGTCCTACTTGGCCAGTTACTCCGCTATATGACTGGCATTCTGGATCAATCGAGTATCTCATAATTGCTCGACCGAGTCAGGCACATCTGATTATTTTGTGTTACAGGTGCATTGGCTATCTGAAGGTGCACTATCTTCCGTCCAGCAGAAGAGCAGAAGGACCCTACCCCGTACTAGGTAGAAAGATGCTCCGAACGGTTCCGTAGCCCCTCGGCGAACGAAAAATATTGAGAGAGGAAGGAAGGGTGTGGCTGAGCGGTTGCCTTTGGTCGCGGAGACACAGCCACTCATTGAGGCACACGTGGCGAATCGCTCAGGGGCTCCGAGTAGAGTCTTGGCACGGTGTCCGGATTGCTCGCTCAGAGACTACTGTTACAGATAGGATGATAGTTTCTTACCTCTCTTTGAATTTATCCGGATTACAGGAGCAGAAGCCCTCCCTGGTGCAATGTTGCCATGAGCTACTGATAACCTATATAGATTTCGATTCTGCATGGGCACTCGGTGAAAACCGTGTGACGGCAACACTTCTATTTCCCGTTGACAGGATCCCGAATTAGCATGGATGTCTTGGAGGGCGGCAACCATGGCCCACAGCTTAGTTTAGTAATTTCTGGAAGGCCGAGGACCCGCCAAGCCGAGGAAGGGTTCTGCCTGCCAGTGTTCATGGTGCCGTGCTGTCACCGGACACCGCGGGCGGATTCAGTTCAAGTTGCGTGTGAACTCGCCAGTGATTCAACAGTGGGGGTCATTTGTGGCTGATGCAGTAGCATCACACTTCTGATTGGGTGGTATCTTCCACCAGCCCCCAATGTGGCGCCAAGCACCAAAAAAGGAGACGGATTGCTGCGGCATCGCTTGGACAAGTCATTCATTTCTCCAGTCGCTCCCTGTTCATTAGTCCGGATATTGACAGCTTTGCCCCGACTGGTAGCTCATAAGACTGCTATCCAATACATTGTCGTCATGTCTACAGAGTATTGCTCAGTTGACTTTCCAAGAAACTCAGGAAGAGGTCCATCATCCATGATCGACTTTTGTACCTATCTATGTGCCTGACAAGGTTAAGGCTGCTTTTGCCCCTCCATCTCTTCTCCCTACAGGGATAAACGAAAACTTGCCCCGCAATTTCTCCT